CTGACCGATGTAAGCTTGGCCGCAACTGAAAGGAGTCTCATATACCACCTTAACCACGCATTCGGTCCATCTTGTTACATGGTTTCTGGAGAACGAAAGAAACTTTTGTTTCCACATCGCGCAGCTTATCTTTGGAAGTTTGCACGGGGCTGAGAACACCGCATTGACCCTGTGCCTAGCAGCCATCTTTTCTTAAATTGTGGGACACCTTGCGCAGATATGAAACCACCTGCACCGGCATCTTGTTTGCCTTTGACGACCACTTTTTGCCGCCCTCTCGTTTAATTTTCTGTGGGAGCCTTTAACACATATTGGACACTAAGCACTTCGGGTAACCGGCACTCTTCAAGCGTGCAACCTGAATGGTCATAGCTGATCGGAATTTTGTGCTAACAGTTTTTTGTAATTGCTACGTGAAGGCAGGTGGATGCAACCCCACGTTTAACAAGCTTTGTGTGGGAACTGATGAAAGAGAGGAGGTCTTTCTTAGATCGTGAATTATAGCTCCAGCACAAATGATCCTAAGTAGGCTGCAAATCCAGAAACTCAATACTGCCCTCATTAGGTATTTTCCAAGTAAAGTTTATTCTGACTGACACTTATCAAAACAATTAACAATTTGTGCTACGGCATGCTCCAACACAAGTCACTGTACATTACCCCAAAATAACCGAAAAATCATCCCCATAGAAACAAATCTTGACCACATTCATCCCGCCAAAAGGCACCAATATGTGCTTGTCCATAGCAGGAAGATGAATGTCACAGAAAACGGGTGCCGCCGAAAAACCAATTCAAAACCCATTCTTCTCTGCGTAGAACTGTTCATTAAAAACAACGGCCGTGAACTCCAAGTAAAATTCTAGCAGCGCCATAAAACGGTCACAGTTAACACCACTTCACCTGACTGCGTTAAGCTTTAACGAACAGCGGTGAAAAGTCCATCATGAGGAACCGAGTAAAACATCTACATGCACAGAAAAGGCTGTGGCCGCATTCTGCAACCCTCTTTTCAAAACTTGAACAAGTTCTACCGAGCTTCGAACCAGAAAGGGGTTGTCAATGACTAACGGTCTGAGGTTACGCTGTAAGTACCTGCTGACCTGAACCAGCCAGGCACTCCTTTCCGAGAAAATGACTCGTAAGGGACCGCTAGGCTGCCGGTGAAAAAGACCTAAAAAAAACTGTCTGCCTTGTTAACAGCCTTACGCCATCAAGGTTCACGCTTTTGAGTAATCTGAGAGCAGTTTCTTCGGGAGAAACTTGACAGTCTTGAAATTATTTTCAATAGCCGCTAATGCCTTGTCCTTGAAAAAGGTATTTCTTCATCACAACAAAACCGCCCTTTTTGTCGGCTTGTACCACGGTAAGGCTCTTCTCCTCTAGTTGACAATTTTTCTAATTGTATCAAAGCTCCGTAGAACTTGTTCAAATTTTTAAGACAGGGTTGCAGAATTCGACAGCAACCTTCATTGTGGATGTAGAAGAGATGTATCACTCGCTTCCTCATGATGGATTTCTCACCGCTATTCGCGAGAGCATAACACAGTCAGGTTAAGTGCCGTTCCAGAACTATACGAGTGTTAACTGCCACCATTTCATGGCACTGCTAAAATTTTGCTTGCAGTCCACGGCCGTTGCTTTTAACCAGCAGTTTTACTTACAGACGAAACGGATTTGTATTGGTTCTTCGGTGGCACCCGTTTTGAGTAAAATTTATCATTCTGCTATGGACAAGCTCGGGGGCTCTTGACGTGATGAATGTGGTTAAGTATTTACCGCGACCTGGATGATTTTTTGGTTATTTTGGGGGAATTTAATGAATTGAATGAATGTAGTGAATTAAATGGAACATGTTGTAGCAGAAATTGTTAATTTGTTTATATCACTGTCAGGGGGCTGAACTTCACCTTGGAAATGCCTAATGATGGCAGTATTCAGCTTCTGGACTTGCAGCTTACTTAGGATCATTTGTGCTGGAGCTGTGATCCACGATCCAAGAAAGGCCTCCCCTCTTGCAGCAGTTTTCACTCGAAGCTTGTAAATCGTGGGTTTCCACCTTCCTGCCTTCATGCAGCAATAGCAAAAAGTTGCCAGCATAGGCTGCCGATCAGCTTTGATCATCAGGTTGCACGCTTGAAGAGTGCCGGTTACCCGAAAAGCTTAGTGTCAAGTGTGCCTGAAAGGCTCCTACAGAAAATGCGGCGACAAATGTCGTGAAAAGACAGACAAGATTACGGTGCAGGTGGTGTCCCACGATAAAAAAAAAAAGAAAAAAAAAAGATGGCTGCTAGGCACAGGGTTAATGTGGTGTTCTCAGCCCCGTAGAAACTTTCAAAAATATGCTCCGCGATGTCAAAACAATCGTTTGTTTCGTGCTCTAAAAACTATGTAACAAGATACACCGAATACGTGACTAAGGTTGTATTTGACATTCCTTTAAGTTGCGGCCAAGTTTCTATCAGTCAGACCGGGCGATGGTTTAATGAAAGATCGCTGGAACACAACCGCAGAAGGTTTCTTAAGATAGGAAATGAGAAGATGAAAAGGGAAATTATCGAATCTTTCTATATAAAAAACCCGACTGACAAATGCATAAGCAAGCCATCCCTTTATCTGCTGAACAAAGAAGTTGTGTTTCGATGGCTGCGTATGAGTAGTGATAGGAACCTTTATCTTGTTTCTTGGGGGTGCCTATAGGTGATGGGGATCGAGCTTGTCGATGCTTGGTGTTACATTACATCAGTTGGAAGTTGGCTCTTCTCCTTGTCGTACTTGTGTCTTTTTAGCCCCGTTTCAGTACGTGCCCTTTACCATTTCAATCGATATCCACCAACTAGCCCCAGCCAAAGTTTTATTGATACCCTATACTCAGCCGCCGCCTTTGTGCATGCATCATATTGTTATCGGATTTCGTTATCTATTAAATCTCTCTCTCTCTTTCTGAGAATGACGTTTTATGTGCTTTTGTCATGCGCAGTGTCACAGTGCAGACTGTTTTTTCGGTGCCGTCTGTGCGGTAGTTGGGATGCGCCTAATATTTGGTCCCAGGGTTCGTCTTGCTGAATCAAAAATTCAGTTTTGCCCCACAAAGGTACCACGAAGATTAATGGGAGCATCAGAACGCGCAATGGACGGGGACGTACTGATTCTTGGGGTAAGCCTCGTTTGACCGGACGCAATTTTAAACGCAAACTCACACCGACTCTGAGAACAGTAGGAAGTTTAGCAAACCGTTACTGTGTTCGGCGTACCACATTTACCGGTGCCTTTGAAGCACGCTTTGAAGTGCGCTCTTCTAGCGGTCAAGGTATCACTCTGGCGAGGTGCTTAACAGTATGCTTGAAAGGCTCCAGCAGTGCGGTACGCTGAACGCAGTAACGGTTTACTAAAAGTCCCTGATGCTTATAAGTGCCCACAAGGATCCAGCTCCAAATCTAGCTTTTTTCTTCTTTTCCTTTTTTTTGTTCCGCAACAAACTTTTTCGCTCAGATACGGCCGCTTGGGTCATCCCCCACGCGCTTTTTTTATATTACGTAGAATGACGACGTAAAGCTAAAAAATAGCTGAAAATTAAAAAAAAAAGACTTCAGCGCATTTTTTTTTTTAAATATTAGAAGCCCTGGAATCTAAAGTTCATAAGTAATGAAACACCAAAAACTCGTTAATTTACTTAATCTTTGAACGCTTAATCGAGGGGAGTGAAAGAACCCAAGTGACTCTCGGCAACTCCTGCGGTCCCTGCGGTCTTTGAGTTACAGTTCTTTGCGTCGGCAAGCTTCACGCATTTTCGGTATTTCTATGCGTGTCTTACCAACTCATCCAATCACGCACTTAGAATGCGTCGGGACATCGACTTTTTTGAATATGCGTTTTGTGTTTTTATTGCAATTAGCCTTATGCTACGCTCGGACTTCAGATGAAACAGAGCATAGTTCTGGGTTTCTTTTAGGGGTGAAGCTCCTTAGGGGCTAGCCATGTCCGTATGTCCGTCCCATGTCCGGCGTCGCGTGCTTTTGCTCAAGAGCACGTGAACACTTGCTCCCGTGCTCGTGTAGGGCAAAAAAAAACAACAAAAAAAAAACGAATCTCCACGTGGTGAATGATGTTGATTGGGGCGAAGCTCTGGTGGTGCTTGTCTGCGTAGACGCTGAGCCGCAGCATGCCGAGGCTTTCGTTCGTTTTCATCCATGTCAGAAAGAGAATGTGTGGTATGGAACGTGGTTATATACGCATTTGAGCATTTGACCGCAGCATGACATGGATGAAAACGAACGAAAGGCTCGGCATGCTGCGGCTCAGCGTCTACGCAGACAAGCACCACCAGAGCTTCGCCTCAATCAACATCATTCACCACGTGGAGATGCGGTTGTTTTTTTCTTCATTCTTCTCAGCAGATACGCGACTTTCGAGTAAAACAAGGTTTAGGATGTTCGTTGAATCTAGTGATTCACGCGAACAATTACTTTTAGTTCTTTTTGGAGTGAATGTGTGGTCAGCTTCGCTTCAAGCACGCGCAAACATAATATGATGATATTTGTCGCCTTCTTCGCGGCGTTTATCGTAAATCTGGCAAAATATCTGTGCGAACGAACTTGGGAGTTTACATTCGTCTAACAGACCTTCTGCCAAATTACCGAAACACCAAGGGGAACGCTGGGAACGTAGGTAGACACGCTGCACGCGCCTATATTATCGCCCAGGGGTGTCGATATCATAAAAACGTTTTCACCCCCACCCTGATCAGCAAAAGAAATTAGATGTAAATAACCAAGATAAGTAGTTGATGAACGGAAGTGTAACTTTAGCTTTCTGCTTCGAGACAATTACTGCTGCAGACGCCATAACGTGCATCCTCACATCACACTCGCAGCAAGTGTCTGTGGTACTATTTTAATTTAGCAGAAGTGTAATCAAAGGTATATTTCGTCTCTAGTCAAGTTCCAGGAACGGTGTTGTTGTTGTTCACACACGCCGCCGCTCTCTTGCGATCCTTGCAGGTAACAAGGACCTGCCCTACCTGTGGATCTACAAGACGGGTGTGGTGCTGTGGATCATCTTCGGCCTGGGCTACCTGGCCATGATCCTCAACTACATCTCGCGGGCAATGCGTTGCAAGCAGATCCGAAACATGGAGAACAGGCTCACGACCAGCTTCCAGAACACGCAGCACAAGTTCGGCCAACGGCTGGACGAGATACACAGGCTGCTGCAGGAATTCGCCTCTAAGGTTGGTGGACGTCGTAGACGGCCTCACTCCGCTCACAGCCGTCGGGGTGCTGGAAGGGCTCGATGGACCAATTAATTGAAACTGTTGTATTACCTTAGCCCGCTCTCATCCAACCCAGACAGCAAGACCGTGGTGCTGAAATTTCGGCGTCATTTTCAAGATTCGTGGTAGAGACCGGACGATTTCTGCGTCGGCGTCCGGCTCCTGTTCAATCAGTGAAAACACGGGTTCTAGCCAAGCGCCACACGCGTGTTTAATATATGTCCCGCGTTGGCGTAAGCTTATCTAAACGAATCTAACCTAACCTAACCTAATCCAATTTATCCTAACCAAACCTAAGCTAAGTTAACCTAACATAACCTTAGCCGATCTAAGCTAACATAGCCCAACCTAACCTAAGCTAAACTAAGCTAACCTAAGGTAACTTAATCTAACTTAACATAAGATCCCCTAAACTAACCTAAGAAAGCTAACCTATGCTAACCTAGTCTAGGCTATCTTCACCTAATCTAAGCCCATCTAAACTAACCTCACCTGACCTAAACTAGGCAAAGCTGAACTACCTAACCTAACCGCTTGTAACTTAGACCAAAAATCGTGCACTACAGCTATAGTGAACTAGAAGAGGGGTAGTGAGATCAGGCGCCGATGCGCGCCACGGATTGCTGTGAAGCGGCGCTGCGGTAGCATGAACTGGAGGGTCCGAGAGTTCAGAGGGCGAGCAGGTGTGGCTCGGCGGTTTGGCAGCGCGAACTGGCTTCCGTTCAGATCTTTCCCCCGTGTTTTCTGTCGCTTATGTTGAATGAAGTGCATGCCGAATCGAGCACGACGACAACGACGACGCCGACGACGACGGCGACGCCTGTAGCGCAGCGAACCCAATGCGAAGCATGCGCTACTAGAGCCCATGCTTTAGTACCGCCCTCTCGTGTCATCGACACGAAATGCGGCAGCCATGAGCGCTCGCTTAGCACACTACCCTTCCTCTATAGTACACTTTAATACAGCCTCGATACCCTATAAATGTTGTCTCTGCTTGAGGGTGTGCGGAGAGAGCGTAATCATCTGGTGCAAGGACGACAGTTCACTGGTCGAACGAGCATTTATCCCCCCCCCCCCCCCCCCTTTTTTCCCCTGTCTGCTTGGCAATTATTGGTGTGTACTGATGCTTCCTCAGGATAAATGGCTCATGGTAACCGGCGTTCCATGGTTGTCAGATTTAAGGCTATACTTATTCATGAGTATCTTTGTAGGACAGATATCTTTGTTTCCTTCCGAGTACTCACATGCTGACAGCATGCGCCACGACGCGCACAAAACGCACAAACGAAGATAGCAAAAAATATCTATTTACAAAAAAGTCGCGAAAGCAAACGAGTAATTCTAGGTTTTAAGTGTGATATTTCACACACAATAATCAAAAACTGCGCGTCAGAATAATTGTTTATCACGTGCTCCTCTCACGGTTTAGAAGAAATGCAATTGACATCAACTTAAAGTGCTCCGTTTGTTTATCGTGTGATCAAGAACGCCGTTTACTATAGGTATTTTCAGGTAAGGGACCTAAGCTAAAGGTACCTTTACGCTGCCGTGTGAATTGGCTATTACTTGCGTTGCTTGGCAAGCAGAACTTAAAGGTCATTTGAATATCCTAAAGGCATTTGGCGTAAAGGTCCTTTTAGGTGCTCGTCTGACAGAGGTATTAGACATGGTCCGCGCAGCGCCGAACGAAGGTCGCTACTGTATGTCGAATCACACAAGTTCCTTAGGTTTAAGTTCCTTAATCGTCGGTAGCCAGCTCTATTCAAAAGGGGTGGGGGTTTTACGTGCCAAACCTACGACGGGCATCTGGCTATTCAAAAGGGGTATGTGGTGCCGTGCAATGCAAAAGCGCGCAAGTGCAAATCTTACAGGAAAGCAGTCTGGCGAGGGCAAAACGATTTTTTATGCGCCTCCAGAGTTCCAACAGAATGACACTCACAGACCCTTAACAAGCGCGTGACCCGAGAGATGTTAACTCTCTTATACGCGATGAATTCGAATCTCCAGGCTTGTTTTTGAACATTTGAAAGTTAAAGAATTGGTCTGAAGTGGCTTGAATTGGCGCTGTACTTTGGCAAAAATAACCTACAGAAACCTCCTACTCTTTTTCACTATTGATTCATCGGTCATCAACCAGCGTAGATGCCAACTAACATAAACATTCGGTACGATTACTCGGCGCGTCGTCTGCTCGAATCCCACAGGCTACGTCACAGGGGAGCATTCATAAGGTGGCGCCACCAAGACATCTCGTTACCAATAGTTGCGTTCTGAGCTCAGTCACCTGCTAGAATCCTACCGATGTTTGAAACCGCTGACTATCTGCATGTTCTGCAGAAAAGTAAGCGAATAGACGCCTTTTTAAAGCGCGTGTCGTGCAACTATCCCCTTCTTTTCGCCACCGTACCAGTCTATAGCTTTCCAGCTCTTATCACTCAAGCTAAACATTGTACTGGGCTGTGAGGCTTCAAATGCTCGGTGTTTCATAATTTGTGAAAATGAGCTACTGCGCACGCTCAGAACTCCTTCCACTGCCCAGTAGACAAGTATGGCAGTGCACAAAAGGCAGTTTTTGGACAGGTATAAAGAAGGGAGCTTACAATTCGTCAACTGTTCTGATAATACTGCCCGTTCGGCAGCAGCACACAGTCGACGTCTTAGAGGCTCCTGATATCGGCTTGTTACAATCCACGCAACTTTTGCTCTCAATGATGACAGTGATGAGTCATTTCATTTAGAAAGCGGTCAAGGATGGCAGAAAATTTTCGGCCTATGTTTAGTTAAAACAAAAATTATTACAAAGAGATGGACACTTTGGTTACTGCTTCACTTTCTGCGTATGGCTGCCGTTACTCGGTTTTATATCTGAAACCGTGATTAAAATTGTTTATACAATTCATCTTGAACAGTCGCTAGGGATAAAGGGCATATGCCTCAATATTCCTTTGGAACAAACAGCTTGTTTCGGTAGTTCATAGAAAACTGTTTTAGACTAAATAACCCCTTTTCACTCTCTTTGCGCCTGTTTTCTGCAGCAGAAGTCTCATCGCAAATCCATCTGGCGAGGCAAGACTGGCAAGCACAACGAGGACGACACGAGTGCCGACAGCTTGTGCGGCAGTGACAAGAACCATAACCGGGACGACCAGATCCAACGGCTTCTAACGCTGGTCGAGAACCTAAAGAAGGAGAGCACACAGAACCTGTGCAGGACTCGGCAGATGATTGAGCAGCACAATCTGAGGCTACGCCTGGATCTGCCCTACTTGCGCGAGGACTCCAGCGGTTCCAGCACCAACGTTGGCGGAGGACTTCCGCGGGGCGAGGTGGCGCCCTCTAGAAGACACAGTCTTCCCGTTCTCCTGTCTCCAGAGACACCCAGGGAATCTAAGGACTGGCTCCAAGTGAGCCAGAACAACAACAACAACAGTCCTACCGTGCTGAAGAACAGGAGCCACATCGAGTTCCCCACGAACTTTTTCGCGTCAGCTAGAGCTTCGATTCCGATGTGCAATGGCCGACTACCTGTGAGGGACCCCTTTGACGACGTGTACGACGTTGAGATTGCCGTTACGAAGCCCATGGTAACCTTCGACTTGGACAGTCTGGAGAGCTCGGCCATCTGACATCAGCATCAATCATTTAGGAACAGTTAACCAGCGTGAACTATGTAGACAACAACCTTTCAGTGCTTCCTATGATATAATGGTAAGTGCGCCCGAAAGAGGCGTTATCAAAGTACGCCTTTTATTCTTTAAATCCTGGAGCCTATCAACGCGCCTGTGGGTAAGACAATCCTTTGTGTTCTGCCCATCGCGCATGCGGACATGTCTCAAGAATGGTTGATCCACACGGGCAGTCACTGCTTACAAAAACTGTGTGCTCACGTGCCAAGGTGACAAAGGTTATGCGTTCCCAAAAAGCAACTGTCGACATGACGCGGCGTCTGTGGTGACTGACTTGATAGTTCAAGACGCAAATCTTCATTCACGCAAGCTGAGTGTCAAGACAGCTCCGGATGAATCATACTGTGCCGTGGTGCAAGGAAGTGCGTACTTTCTGTGTGACAGGTCGATCTGCTTTGGTGTTTCAATGCATCGACACGGGTCTTTAATCGCAGCGACTCTGTTATGCTAACGCTTGGCCCGTCGGTGTTGGCACCACTCTGAAAATTACCTGCTCCCGTTTGCGAAAGACTGGAAGGCCAGCATCTCAGTAAGGCCGAGACGTTCTCGCAGTGCGGGTTATTGCCATTCACTCGAACCTTGATTACATTATTAGTGAGAACACTGTAGCTATGTCCCGTTTATATGAATGTTGACAGACCAAATATCCCATTAGAAACTTATCTACTATCTCAAATTTACAGACATAGAATCTCGATAACCCACGTAGATTCTTCCTCTTCAAGACTGAGGAGGAAAATAAAGCAGCTGAGAAAAGGAGACACTGAAAACCATAAGTGCACTTTGCCAGAGTCGGGGCAATGTAAGCTTCCATCTAACTGGATAAAAAGTGCAAGCGACAGCTTTTTTTTTATATATGGAACCCACAAAAAGTCCACAGGACACGCTGTGCCGTACAAAGCAAACGCAGTAAGAAATTTACCTGTGGTCACTCAGTCGTCACGGTGTAACGCTCTTGTTCACCTAGGACCCAGTAGCTTCTCACCTCGAGGGCATTGAAGTAAAATATTTTCTTGAGAGTTAAGTACCCACTGCGTACAAAACCGAAATGCATTATTTCATGTAACTACCCTGTGCGCAAGAGACTGTCGTACTCTTCGTCGCAACTTTCCGACCCACAGAGAGACTGTTGAAAGCACACCAAATGCTTCGGAAGGCGCGGGTTTTCTTTTTTTGGGGCACCCGCTGTGTAAATAATGTACACACACTCATCACGTGTAAGATAGAACCAATTGCCACTGATCATGTAAATAATAATTCCAGGGTCGTCGTTTCGAAAGAACCAGCCCGGAATGAAAAAGAGATATAGATGTTTTCAGCGTCGTTTCCCCGGTAACGAGTGTGTGCCTGCGTTGCCTTACTTCAGCGTACATGCGACCGTCCTCCAGCCAGGAGGACGAAGCCATGCAGCAGCGATCTCAAGTCGTTACGAAGGACCATCCTTTTTTCCTCTCCCCGTTTCTGTAAATAAAAGATCGTTTAAGGACATGTTCTTGCTCGGTCTACAGGTAGTCTTCTTTTTTTCCTCTGAAAGGTTCTAAATCGAATCGCGGGATCGGTGGCCGAGTGTGTTGGCGCACCGCAGCTCCGCATAGGTCGGCACTTCGATCCGACCTCACTCACACTCACGACCACCTGTTTCCCTCATCAAAACTCGCACACAGAATCACGATTAAACACAAAACCAAAACTCACTCACCCTCATCGTCACGGTAATCACACTCAGAGGTCACCAAAGTCATCACGCTCACAGAATACAAGACTCACAAGTCATTACACCCACAGGTCATCATGGTGGTCACACTCGCAGCTTACTACACTCACGGTCATATGTCATCACGGTCATCCCACTCATTCACGAACTCAATCACTCAGTCACTTACTCACCGACCTCGTTCAGAAATAGTTCTCGCCCTCACCGTAGTCGTGCCGCTGGCGCTCGTGTTGCGCGCGGGTTGTGCGTCTTATACAACCCCGCCGCGGTCTCTGCCGTCTTCCACCGCTTTTGCGCCAGCCGTCCCGTTGCCAAGTGAAGGAATGTTTTGACTTATCGTTTGTTTCGCTTCGACTTCTTCCGCGCGCAAGCCCAGCCTTGAAAAAGGCGCGTTTTGTTGGGATACAAAGGTGCATCATCGCTAGCCTCCTGAAGAGTTAAGGCGCGTTCACACTCTTGCAACCGAGTACGACCGAGAAAGATTTCTTGGGACCGGATGCGCTGAGCGGAGCTGGTCCTAAGAGATCGCAAGAGGCTTAAAAACCGGTTTGGTCTCTCTCGGTCGTACTCGGTCGCAAGAGTGTGAACGGCGCTTTAGTCTTTACGCTGTGCACTGTTCGTTTTAAGCATTCGTGTCAGCTTCGTGTGTGTTGTTTGCACGCGAAGCACGTGAAGCACATGAACACGATATCTCGGTTGACGGGATCGAGGATGTGAAGACGGTACAGCTGGAGCCGTCAAGCGTGTTTCCGCAGATCTTCGTTGTCGTCTTTTTCAATGTATTCTCGGGGAGTGTCCCGTATTCCCCTAGTAAAATATTTGGCAGAACTTTAAAAATTACTTTGTGCAGCCTCCGTGCACCAAATTCCAACATCTTAGAGTTTCCCTTTAATAGCAGGCATTTGAAAAATTCTTGCCAGTTGTTATTATCGCGCCATTTGGAGACGACATATATAAGGTGTCCAAAGTCACCAGGCTCGACCTAAAATGGACCGTAATAATCGGCGCCTGCAAGGAGCAATCCAAACTTTTCGTCAAAGGTGTATTTCACAGGTCGGTTTTTTCTTGTAAAATCACAAAGCGTAGCTCCCACTCTGTAAAAAAATGAGGCCAAGAAACTTGCCCTGGTCAACGGAGGACGGTGAGGCAGACGACCAAGTCGAGTTGCGGGGCGCGTTTGGCGCGCGTATTGATAAAATGCGTCGGGAGCAGCGTCCGAAGTTGTAGCCGACCAGCGAAAGAAAGCAAACGACACGCAGACGAAATACGTTGGCAACAAAAACGCCGTAAACGCGTTTTTAGTTTTTTTAGTTTAAGTTTTGCTTTTATTGTCTGCCTTAACTTTTAAACCAAAGGTAATGTAAAAATAAAATATGTACAGGGTGAAACAAGGAGACGCCAGGCTCTTTAAATCGACCGGAAAATTCGGTTTCTTAACCTATCGCGCTACGACTTTGTGCAGCGTTGCCCACAGATGGTACAATTTGTTTGTAAAATTTGCGAAGAGCGAACTTACCTGAGGAAAAAATAAAGAAAGAAAAAGGCTTAGCTCCTATGGAAACGCAGCGACGCCACCGGTCTGCAAACAACACGGCGCCGTTTCGCACGGGAGACAAGAGATGGCGCAACAAACGCCGCCAACGAACGAGCATACGGCGCCGAGAGCAGGCCTTTTTAGCAGACGATCCTTTCGACTCAAAGGCGGCGTGCGTTCCGCAGGCGGCGACAGTCGCAGAAACAAAAAAGACAGGCGCGGTAACAGCAAGGAACTGCAGTTCCTTGTCTGCAAAAGGGCCGGCTCTCGGCGTCGTCTGCTCGTTCGGTGGCGGCAGTTGGCGTTAGGGAGGCTGTAGTGAGGGTGGGCGCAACTCAAAACCTGGAGAGCGTTTGCAATTTAATGGCGGCGCCAGAGGGAGAGGATTCGAGAAAGGATATGCGCCAGTGTTGCCTGCACGAGAGCAGGCGCCCGCTCTGTTACAACTCTGTTGCTCCATGCGCCTTTCCTCCTCTCGCCTCCCATTGCAAGCAACGAGCGCCTTGGCGCAGCCTCTCTCGCTTCCTTCTCGCTCCGAGAATTGCAAACGTCGAGCGGAGAAAGCAAAGTTGCCAGACAAGCGGCAACGTCCAAGATGGCGGAATTTACCATTTTTCGCGTTAAAAAATACTTAACCTATCGCAACAAAACTGGTGGCTATGGAAAAGTAATCATTTATACCTTGTGTAAATTATTCAAGCACCTTAATGGGCTTTTATGACCCGAGTTAGGAAAGAAAATGACTCTTTGCCCCATAGACTCCCAGCAAAATTTAGCAATTAAATGGCGTCCATGTCCCGTGATCGCCGATCTAGCAGTTGCACCCACCCTCACTTGAGCCTCCCTAGTTGGCGTCGCGACCGCTTGCGCCATCTCTTGCCTCCCGTGCGAAACGGCGCAGTGTTGTTTGCAGACCGGTGGCATCGCTGCGTTTCCATATGAGCTAAGCCTTTTTCTTTCTTTACTTTTTCCTCAGGTAAGTTCGCTCTTTGCAAATTTTACAAAAAAATGCACCATCTGTGGGCAACGCTGCACAAAGTCGTAGCGCGATAGGTTAGGAAACCGAATTTTCCGGTCGATTTAAAGAGCCTGCCGTCTCCTTGTTTCACCCTGTATATATATATATATACGTATATATATACAACGGGCATGGTGGCGGGAGGCCGAAGGCGTGGGTATATAACTGAGAAGAAAAAACCCTTAGTGAAAACATCAACAGCGGACGATTTATTCTTCGACGTTTCGGCCGGAGTCCGGCCTTCGTCAGGAAGGCCGGATATGTCTATATTTATATATATATATAAAACTGAGAAGAAAAAAACCCTTAGTGAAAAACAGCAACAACGGACGATTTAATCTTCGACGTTTCGGCCGGAGTCCGGCCTTCCCGGCCTTCGTCAGTCTTCCTGACGAAGGCCGGACTCCGGCCGAAACGTCGAAGATTAAATCGTCCGTTGTTGCTGTTTTTCACTAAGGGTTTTTTTCTTCTCAGTTTTATACCCACGCCTTCGGCCTCCCGCCACCATGCCCGTTATATATATATATATATATATATATATATATATATATATATATATATATATATATATATATATATATATATATATATATATATATATATATTATGTTCATTTTAATAAACCACGGTTGTTGCGAGTAATGCCCCTGAATAAAAAGAGGGTAGAAACATCTCCCTCCTCCTCTGGCGCGCACACCTTTTATCTTTATGTTTTGCTTTTTTACACCCTCGTGTCGACGGTAGCGCCGCCTGGTTTGGCCCAAGATAGCAGGCAGCATTCTTCAAAGGATGTCGATACTTTTCCGTATAAAGGGGCTTTAGTTGCGAGATTGATTGATTGAAACGTTTTTTATTAGCAGAAAATGAAATGACCGCCGTGCCGCTTGAACTGTATTCATCTGGAACGGTAGCTTAGGGAGGGAAGACAGGACCAAAGAGGACAGAGAGAAAGTTTAAGGAAAAAAGATTTAGTTGCGAGCAGTCTCGATTATACTTCGTTTCACCTTATGTGCGAGCGAAGGCAAAGCTGGAAGCGCGAGCACGAAAGCTCCATGCGTTCAGACTTTGCTCGAGCGCGCGAGCTGGGGAGAAGCGCAAAAGGCGCTGGTCTCGCGCTTCTAGCTTTGGCTTCGCTCCCAGATAATGTGAAACGAAGTATAGAGTTCTTGTATAGGCTCCCTACGGGATCCAGAGTTGCGCGTCTGTTTTCCACGTGCCGCCGCGCCGCTATTCGCCGAAATCCGATCACGTGAGGAGCTGGACTAAGTGCCGTGCAGAAAAGTAGACGTTGCACGCGCCCCAGTGTACGTTCCCCTGCTTTCGAGTGCGCCGCGCGCCTCGAACGCGCGGCGTTGCTATTCGCCGAATTAAACATGTCGTGCAGGAAAGATGGCGCTACGGAGATGAACGCACAACTCTGGCTCCCGTAGGGAGCCTATACACCAACTCATGTTTACAAACAAACCGGAGCGCCCCTAGCGGACGCCAACGGCGCCGCGCATGCGCGGTGGATGGTGGGCAAGAAGCCCGCCGTCGCCCATAAACAAACCATTGAATTGCGTTGTTGTCGGCGTCGGTGGGAGTCCCCGTGCTCTTTTTCGCGTTGGAATTGTTGATGGTACGTCCTCCTAACAATGTCTGACTACTTGAGCGGCTTCAGCAAAACTAACGAGGCAAAACTTTGCGTGAATAATGCGACGTGCGCCGATTCATTTCACGTGGACGCCGCAGAATGGGCGCTAAAGCCTGACTCCCACGATGAGATTCTGCTCGCTGTTCTCAGACGCGACATTGCTCGGACTGCAAAAGCGTGGACCGTAGCTGAGATGGTGGACGTCGATACTGAAAACCGCAAGTAGAATCGGGCATTACAAGTCGGTGGTGCCACTGGTAACAGTAATGATAAACATCTTCTTGTATCTGTTTACACTTAGCCTACTTACCCCAACCAACCTTCAAAAGTGTTTTGAGGCCTGCACTTAGTTCTTATCGCAATTACCGGGTCAACATTTGGTTTCCGGGCCGCTGTCGTTTGGACGAGCTGACGACAAAAAGCAGCATGGTTTGAAAGAGCAGACGACAGTTCGAACGCATGCGTAATGGGGTACGGGCAAGAAGCACTGCCGTCCCGCGTCAACAAACCACTCGAATGTCACGTTGTCGGCGTCTGTGTGAGTCTGCCTACTCTTTTTCGCGTTGGAATGTCGATTCTACGTCCTCATCGCA